AGAATTCCTGAACAATATCTACAAGAAATATCTGGAAAGAAACCAAAATTACGACGCCTACAAAACGATAACATCAGTATCAGCTTCTTTGCAAACATGCAGCTATTTTCAAGGTAACGGCGAGGAACAGCTGACGCTATCAGATCTTATACCTAAGTGCCATGGAAAAGTTTTTGGAAAGATCGGCGTATGATCGGAGACATATGAAGCTCAAGATAATTGAACATTTTGGATAAAGTATTATTATTTCTGGAAATGAGCCTTAACAGATGTAATGACACTGCGTGAAAGTGCTGATGTAATCCTCAGACAGTATTATAGAAAGGATACAAATGTCTGTGTCGAGCTACAAAAAATCCTTATCGTAGAAGCAGCTGCGAAGAAAATCAAAAGAGACGCTAGTCCGCATGTAGAACTAACAGAGACATTTATCCTGAAAGTAAAAACCTTAATACCACTGCAGGTCTAAATTACTTGACAAAGTATGTCCTGCCCAGTAAACAGTCGGGATTTCCCAAAGGATTTAGTACAACCACCTGTTTGTTAGATCTTGTAGACTACTTTCTGCGTGCCATAGATAAAAGGGAAGTTACTATGCTTCTTATGCTGGATTATTCCAAAGCCTTCGACAGTTTGCACCACGAACTCCTTTTAAGTAAGCTATCATACATAGGATGTAGTGCGTCGGTAGTAACTTGTATGCGTAGTTATTTCGTTGGTCGATTTCAGCAAGTTGTGTTCCGCCAAGAACAAGATCGTTATTCTTCCTTCTTTCCCTTAACACGTGGAGTACCACAAGGATCGATCCTTGGGCCTCTTCTTTTCACTACATATCTATTTGATTTTGGTTACAATCTTCAATTTTTTAATCTCCATAGTTACGTTGACGATACTCAACTATACGGTTCTTTTACCCCACTATGCGCACCTGATTTACTACCATTAATTAAGAGTTTATCTGAATGGTCTAAGAACAACTGAATCCCCTGAAATCTATTGGTATGTTGATTGGTACAAAAAGCTCTCTGGCGAAGGTGGATCTTCCTCTTGATTCAGTCTTACTTGATAATGCGTCCCTTATGTTTAAAAGTTCACACAAAAGTCTTGGTGTAATAATAGATGAAAGTCTTTCCTTTTCTCCTCACGTCAGTATGCTGCTTCAAGTAGCTATGCGAAACTGCGTTCTTTGTACAGACTTAGAAATGTTCTCTCGCAGTCTGTCAAGATGACACTGGTAGAGTCTTTGATTCTGTTTATGGCCCGCTAATTACTAGTACTGAAGTTAGTAGAATTCAAAGAGTGCAGAACTGTTGAATAAGGTATGTATCAGGCATTAGAAAATATGATCATGTTTCACCGTTCTACAACCAACATAATATTATGCGTATGCGAGAAAGGAGAGAACTTCACTATACTTGTTTAATCCACAAAACTATAACAATGCGTATTCCTGAATATTTGTATTTTAAAATTGAAATTCGTGGAGATCTTCATGATCGTAGATTAAGAAATATTATGGACATCCAAATACCTGCGCACAATACCACACGTTATGAAGCTTCCTTTAGTTACCTGTCTGACTTTTTGTACAACAAGGTTCCACATGTTTATCGGTCGCCACCTCTGCAACCATTTAAAAGGAAAATTAAAAATCTTTTGAAACGAGATTCACTCTTACATAGCTAAACGGTGCTTTTCGGTTAATACTAATGTTAATAATGTTCTTTCTCTATAACACGAATTTTTTTTTATTATTTAGTACCTACAACTAATCTGCATTTTTCAGTTCATGGTTTTTTTGTGTCATTTATTTCGTGCGGGTTAACAACATTATGCTGATCCTCGCCAGAATAATACAGATTATTATAATATTATTATTATTAAAATTTGAGTAAGCGTCTAAGATTTCGGAAATAACGGAGTTAAAGAGATCACAACTATGAGATATTTTGTTGAAGTTGCTACACATAACATTCACTGGTGGTTTTAACATAAGATTTGTTTGAGCTCTTTTGCATTGGAAAAAGCAATGTTGTCTGGATGCTTGCCTAGGCACTAAGATGTCTATTAAAGAGAGTAAATCGAGGCAGTCCACTTTTCCGGCGAATTACTTATATAAAAACACCACTGCTGCATGATTGCGACGACTCTCAATAGAAGTGATCCCAAATCTTTGCAACAAAGCTGAATAGTCGCATCCCCTTAATGGGTACACACCATCGATCTTGAGCACAGATATTTTAAAAACTTCTTTTGTACTCTTTCAATAATGGAAATGTAATGCAAGTATATAGGGCTCCATACCAAGGAAGCGTATTCTAGCTTGGAACGAACGAAAGAGTAGTAAATGGTAGAGAGAGAAGCTAGATCATTAAAATTCTTACAGTTCCTGATGATGAATCCATATGCTCTATAAGCATTCTTTACAATCTCGTTTATATGGTAGTTGAAAGTGAGTTGCGCATCGAAATAAACTCCAAGATCTTTAACAATTGTCACACGTTGAAGCACCTCATCAGTGATCTTATAGGCATATTGCAGCAAGTTCACTTTTCTTGTAAATGATATCACTTTACACTTTGCGACATTTAACTTGAAGCTATTCGACATGCACCAATCGTGAAGAATTGTAAGCTGTTCCTGTAAGAATGTACAGTCACCTAAATTTGAGACAGAAGTGTAAATCTTCAAATCATCCGCAAACATTAATGCATTGCAATTCAACGCGTTACATAGGTCATTAATATAGATTGAAAACAGCAGTGGACCCAAGTTGAAACCCTGCGGCACTCCACTGGAAACCTCATACACACTAGAGCGAAATCCGTTCACATAGACAAATTGGTAGCGTTCGAGAAGATATGATGACAGAAGTGCTACGTAGTTATTGTTGAAACCCAGGTGGCCGAGTTTACTCAAGAGTTTGGCGTGATTGATTTTATCGAACGCTTTTGAAAAGTCCGTGTAGACTACATCAATTTGTCCTCTTTTATCCAATTCATTGCACACTTCTTGGCAAAATAGTGCTAAATTGCTAGTAGTTGATCGAAAGCTCATAAAACCATGCTGTTTAGTAGATATTACGTTTTTAACAGACGAATAGGTGCGATTGTATAAAATGATTTCAAAAAGTTTTGCGACGTTATTCAGTATGGAAATTTGTCGATAATTACAGATATTGTTAGGGACATCCGATTTGAAGATTGGACAAACTTTAGCCACTTTCCAGCTGCTTGGAAATACCGAAGTTCTCATAATCAAGTTGAATATTAATTGTAATGGGTACACTAACGCATTTATGCAATACATATCATCATTTCATTTACATACAAAAATAAAAGTATACAAAATATCCAGAGACTTTACTTCATTTTTTCAAAATGGCGGCCATTTTAGAATTTCAAAACTAAATAGTTAAATATTTAAATGGTCGCCATTTTGAAAAAAAAAATGAAGTCGGTGGTTATTTTTTTAATCTTTTATCTTTGTAATTTAAACATTTTTGCAAAATTTCATTGAAATAACCAAGTTCGCAATTCTTAAATGAAAAATATGAAATTCAGTGGCCCTCGTGGATTTTGATTATTTCCTTTGTTTCTCTTTCGTCGAGTGGCCTAAATGTCGATTATTTGTCAAAAATCGTTCATAGTCACGTAAGTAGTCATGATCAATACAGCCTTTCCCGAGGCCTTTCCCCAAACGTAAATTTCAAAATGTATCCAAAATAAGTGAGAAAATGGGTTAAGGCATTTGATGAGAAATACAAAGGGATATCGTATTAGGGCGCGCATGGAATTTACTTGATTCTTCAAGCTTATATGTCGATATTCTGTAATTGTGATTGGTTTATTTTTTGTGTCGGCTTTCTATTTGTTATTAGACTAAATGCGTCAACGTATAAAGCAAAACTACAACTGAATTTTATTGCGTCATGTGAAGAAAAATACCGAATCGGTCACAATGACACTTCAAAGTGCATCACTAGACTTTTATTGGAGGAGTATTATCTATTGTAGATAAATCAAAGATCCGAACCCCTACTGGAGAAAAGAATAAAGTGATTTATCCACTATTCTGTCATTTCATTTGAAATAATCACACTAAAAGATCGGAAATATGAACAGCTTTAGAGATTTACGCCAGTACTTACGTTTTGGATCACGCAAATTATTATGAAAAGTAGAATTTCCAAGTCTCCCCTAATGAGCTTTTGTTTGTATTTAAAACTAGGTACATATTCTTATTTCTCCAACGGGAACACTTCAACAATTTAAAGTTGTTTTATCCATCTAAAAGTTTAAGAGCACTTCGAGGAAAAAAGCAATTTACGAACTCTCGAATCCAAGCTCTAGTAAGATGAAAATGTTCGGCAATAGGATAGATTCTGTCAAGAGCGTTTGCAAATGAAGGCAAATAATAGGAGGTTTACATACAATTTTCTACCTTGCCGAAATTTATATCGGCGATTTATTCATAAAACCCCCGAATTCGCTAAATACGTACGGAATTTATACTAATGAATGTTCTGTAAGGGTTTTAGTCGTGGTTTAATTAATTGACAGGAATGTTCACTTAACTGGCATAGTTGGAAATTTGCTATTCTATTCGTGCATCGCATACAGTAAAAAGTTGAGTCACTATAATTAATGGAAACGGCAAAAAATCGTTAGAAGTAGGGAAAGAAGTAAAATAAACGATCTAAATCCCCAGTTACATCACGCAATTGTAGACGTACAAGACATGTGAGAGGTTTTAAAAGTCCCAGTAGCGACCGATAAATCGATTATTGTAGATTCCTTTTACTATTTTTATGGGAAAAGGCACGATTTTTACTGAAAGTGCGTTGGACTCGCGCAGTAGATTACCAATTATCAATTACAGGGGGTCTATGACATTCAGATAACGCTATAAAAAGAACATTAACATTGACGTAATATAATTATAGATGCAATACTAAAAACATCAATTAATTTCACAAATTGTTCCAATTTCAACCTGACCTGATTTTCGCTGCTGAGCAGTTTCAGTTGATCATTGATGAGACTGTACTTGGCGGATTCTTCTTTGCGCAACGCGCGCTCTTTCTTCAGCTCGGGACTCCAAAAGGTCTTAATTGAATGCATGGAGGACCCCAACTTTTGGTTGGTCAAATCAAGCTCCTTCTTTAGGTTACCGAGCTCCCGCTGTAAATCTGAATTCTGGCTCTGCAGTTCGCCAATGAAGGGTTGGTGAGACGTTGGCGATTGTCTGGCCGACCTGGTGGACCATCCGTAGGGTGGCAGCTCTTCGTCGAAGTAGAGGCCGCGTTCGAGCGATCGGTCTCTACGGTCACGTATGGGTAGAAATTCGCGTTCATGATCGACAACGGGAGGGCCACGATCAAGTGATTGGTAACGTACGGACATGGGATTAGTTGGCCTGGTAGCACTACGTGACCGATGGTGACTAGGCCCCACTGCCAGCGGTCTACCCCGTTCTTCCAGCATCGGACTAGGAAGTTCGTCGTCGCCTCTGTAATACGGCGAATGATGATATCCGGAAACCCCGTGATCTGTGGGTGAATTGTTTCCGGAGCGCGTTTGTCGCAGTGGTTTGCGACCTACAGGGCTGCCACCGGGGTACGCGATGCGGCTGGGGGACCGGTCCACGGTGGGCAATCTTACGCCCCGTCCCGGGGACCGGCTGCCCCCCACGTACGCGTCTCGGGACATCTCATGTCATTTCACGCACAGCACCGAAGATGTCAGCCGCACTCGCACTATCCTTGCCGTGGGCCACTGATCAATGAACGGGTGTAGCGTAGAAATGCGTGCGCACCCTTCCGCACGCGACACCTACACCACCCCCGCAATAATGGAATATACATTTAGAAGGGTTACAGTCGCCACATCTAAAAATTTTACGTTTTCTTATTTAATTCTCCAACTACTGGCGCAAGACAAACGAGATCGCTACAATTACCACTCGCGCGAAACTTGATTCAATTAAGCTCCCTCTATTTCAGTGAATTACTGAAACAAGTGGAGGGGATTACGCCTATCCTGAAAATCCTATTTTAAATCATCACTTAAAATTTTATTACAGGACAAAATGCGCAGGTTGCAGATTTCAATTTTTCGAAATAAGCGGTGTGGCTGCAGACTGACAGATGGCGACTGCATCTTTAAAATATAGTATACGTTGGGAAAATCAATATAGGAGCTGTTGCATTAAAAGTATACAAATATCCCATGTCCACAAAACCATCAAACATTATACTTGCTAACTTTATACAAAATGTGTGTTTCCGGCTATGGGCCCAGGATGCGTCTAGTAGCGACACAAAATTGGAGCAAGTGACATTACCTAGATAAGAAATATGAAGTCCATTTTTTTCGGAATTGGGATAATAACAGGCGAATTGAGATTACTTTCCTTTTTTACAAAAATTGGAAATATAACCATTAGTTAATGAGCTAATAAATACAAGAAAAATGTAAAAGCCAACTGTCTCATTTATTAGTATGAGTTTTTTTCGGGTCCCCTATTAGCGCAACAATAAACCAATTGTGTCTTTATCTACTGTGGCTGAATTGTGTTCTGCTCATGGTTTGTGCCTTTTGGGTTTTAGAAATATTTGTAAAATTTAAATGACCCTCAAAAATTAAACTTTTTCATACTGAAACGACGGTATCGTATATACTTCGGTTGTGTTTTTATGGTCACAGTCTGTGCCTTTTTAGCTTCGGAAATATTTGGAAAAATCAAATGGGGGCCAAGTGAATGCTTCGCCCCCCAAAAATTTAACTTTTTACACTCAAAACTTATCCAATTTTGTGTACAAACTGCTGAAGACCATTTTGTGCACTGAACAGAAGTACCTATAGTAAACCTCTCGCCAGGAAAGATTGTCGGTCATAGAACATTTGATCCCGGTCTACAATCTATGTTTTTCTAAAGATGCGAGCGACTTCCGGGATAGTATCGTGTCAATGTTGAACAAAAAGACTTTTCGTTCAACATTGACACGATCCTATTCCGGAAGTCCTCGCATCTTAAGAAAAACATAGTTTGTAAATCGACACAAGGTGTCCTGTGACCGGCAATCTTTCCTGGCGAGAGTTATATAAATATACCAATGGAGGAAAGGTTGCACAAAATACGTGCTGGTTTGGTATTTAAGTTAGAAAATAGCGAGGAAAATAGGCATTTAAAACGAGCGAAATATTATGTAAGACCCCCAGTTTAGATATGAAGATTTCAATCTTTCGGAATAAGCGATTTTGGAGAATTTTTCAGTGTTACGTGTTTCGAAAACCAAAAAGGTGCAAACTATGAGCACAAAAGCACAATTAAGCACAACAGCAGTAGCAATATAAAATAGAAACATAATTTTCATCGTTCCTTTCTTTCATCTATATATATAAAACAGTAAGACCGAAATGTGTTTGTAATCTTATAACTGAAGAACGGCTAAGCCGATTTTATTGATTTTTGGTTTGTTAGATTAGTGTGCCCTGGGAATAGGACATAGACATAGGATATGAAAACATGCGAAAATTTGACCGGAAAATGGGAAAATTCACTATACAGTGTGTCCCAGATCGCGTGGGATTGCATGGGTAACTTTGTTATTATTAAAGATAGAGAATTGGTTAAATGGGCAATGTTTTCCAGTTTTGGATGCTTATTTAAAATTTCTTTGTGGAAATTCAAAATGTCGCATAGGTTCGAGGTAAATTCAAAAAAACGAAAATTGGTCATTTCCTTGAATGTCTTATATCATCGAAAGTATAAGAGATATAAAAAAAGTTTTATATAAAAGTGACTGTCTTTGATACGCTTAATTTAGAATTGATGTGAAAAAAAAATTCAAGATGGCTACTTTTGAGGAACATTTACCAACTTCCTAAAGTTAAATGGGCGCTATATGGGATTTTTAGATTACTTGATAGATTTTTTAATTCTCTTTTCAACGAGCCATCATAACATAAGATTGAAAATAAGATACCAATTATATTAACGGTTTTTATATTTCAATCAAGTAGGCTGTGATAAATTAAAAAAAAACAAAACAAAATCTATTCGAGCCAACAAAACAATGATAATAATTACATCAGATGTTTAAAAATCAGGGGCGCACTCATGAGAGGGGGGTTTGGGCATTACAACTCCCTCCAAAATTTTATATAAGTAGGCCTAGAAAAATTTTGATTTTTATAACATCACTCATTGACTAATTATCCATACTTACATACCTACAAATGGTGGTATAACTACAAACTATCCCCTCGAAAAAATGTCATGCCATTATCCAGTTAAACACATTTCAAGACACTTTACTTTATTTTACACAATGTAATTACCATTGATGCATTGTCCCAGGTCACATTTTATAGGTGGTTTATCCGTAAGAATATCGAAACTAACTGTAGTTTTACCAGCCCGAGTATATGGACAGATAAATCTTATTTTTCTAACTGCGGAGTGTTCAAATCGACATAATGAACACTACACTCGTCACAGGAAAATCTACATGTTGTAGTTTCACGCCGAAATCAAGTAATATTTTTTTAAATTAATGTATTTTATGGCATAATGGGAAATCATGTAATTGGACCGGTAATCTTCGTTGGATCTGTAACTGCTCACCATTATCTACAAATTCTCCAATAAACTTCCTTTCTCGACAACGTACAATTCGAAGAAAGGGTTGGTTTATGCTACCTACCAACAAGCTGGCTGCTCAGGTCACAATTCACGAATTATGTACAGTACATTAAATTATAAAAGTAAGTACTTAATTAAAAAATAAAAGTAAAGTGGGTAGCTACCACTACAATAATAATAATAATCATCAATGGCATCACGTTGCCTAAACTAAACTGTCTTGAAGTTTTATTCGTCACGGACTACTAACTTGATTAAAATACAAAAACCGTTAATATAACTGGTATCTTATTATCAATCTTATGTTATGATGGCTCGTTGAAAAGAGAATTAAAAAATATATCAAGTAATCTAAAAATCCAATATGGCGCCCATTTAACTTTAGGAAGTTGGTAAATGTTCCTCAAAAGTGGCCATCTTAAATTTTTTTTTTGACATCAATTCTAAATTAAGCGTATCAAAGACAGTTACTTTTATATAAAACTTTTTTTTATATCTCTTATACTTTCGATGATATAAGACATTCAAGGAAATGACCAATTTTAGTTTTTTTGAATTTACGTCGAATCTATGCGACATTTTGAATTTCCATAGGGAAATTTTAAATAAGCATCCAAAACTGCAAAACATTGCCCATTTAACTAATTCTCTATCGTTAATAATAACAAAGTTACCCATGCAATCCCACGCGATCTGGGACACACTGTATATATTCCAAGAAACACTAACTTTTGTAATTATGAATCGATTTTGACTAAACTTTAAGGGTTGGTGTATCTCGGTCAAGTTCGTGAATCAGCCAAGAATAACTAAAACACGCGATTGTTATAATAATCCTGATGGTAACTCGCAGACTTTTCCACGTGGCCAAAATGCTAACTTCCAAAAAAAAAACGATTGGATATTATGGGCGGCACTGAACTGTCGCTTGGAACTAAATATTTTTCTTCTCTTAGAAGCTCGGTGAATCACTAACGAGAGATTTAATTACTGGGGCTCTAATGGCCGTTTGCACCGACAAATTTAAGCGAAACTTAGCTTAAGCGTAGCTTAAAATCCATGGCAACGATTTTTAAGACAATGGTTGCCATGGATTTTAAGCTACGCTTAAGCTAAGTTCCGCTTAAATGTGTCGGTGCAAACGGCCATAAATACCACTAACTGAAAACGCACCGTACAGACCAGAACGCTATTGACCTCGTAATTGACTCACAAAATGCAACAAAAATTGACTCTTACTAGCACCACGGCTCGGGTCAGAATCTTCCTGGTTGACTGACCAAACGCGAATGAATGAATTTGGTGCAGAGCTCATTCCGTCTCTCTACACTTAAAAGCCTATTTCATGACGGAAAGCAATGGCGGAGACGCTTCGTTAATTTGCATTGGCGCTTCCAATCGAAGGAGGTCTAAAAAAAATGCCGAGGCGGCGGAAATTTACTTATCTCCTTCGCAGAAAGATATGAAACCTTATACCACCTCTTTTTATCACGTAAAGCGACACAGTTTTCCCGCAATCGCACGGCGAATGTGATAAAGCTCGCTGAACTCCAATCGCCAAAATAAAAATTTGAACATGACATAATGAATATTTGTTTGGTTGAATATGAATGAAAGCTTGACCGCATTTAACCTTCCGAATTTATTCTTCCGCATATGTTAATGGGATAAAAACGCAAAAAATGGTTTTGGCCCGATGTCAAATAAATAAATAAATCTAGAAATAAATAAATAAATAGATAAATAAATTTCCAAAACCAAAAAGGCACATACTGTGATCATAAAAGCACAACTAAGCTGCAATATCGTCGTTTCAAAATGAAAAAACATAATTTGGTGGGGGAGGGGGCGTTCACGTAGCCACCATTTGAATTTTCGAAATACGTCTAAAACCAAAGGAGCACAAATCGTGAGTATAAAAATGCACAATTGAATCACAGTCGAATGGGTCGCTAAGCTCACAGGGCCCGTTTTTTCAAATTATAATCTAAAAAATTCTACAGGATCAAATTTAATTCAATAATTCACAATTTGAGAATATGAAAACAGTGATAGAGGGGTAAGTGGGGTAATTTTGTTGCCCTTTTCGGTGTTCGTAAGCTTGTTTATTCAAGGGGGGGGGGGGTCTACTACTTGATTCGGCGACTTAAGTCTGAGTTTTGTTGAATTGTTGGTACAAATTTTGGTATAATTATTGTTGTCGCCCTGGGCTAACCTATTGGTTCACTGTTTGTTTTAATTGTTTCATGTCCCATACATAGATTTATAAATATTATCTATATTAATGTTTTAACTCACTTTTGGTTTCATTTCTATGTAACCGGTTCAAGGTTTTCTTTTATATTTATTCGTGTATTTTTTATCAATGTGAAAGATAAAGCTGTGCAATAGTAATAAATGAACGTCTGTATGAGCGTGTTAATCACTTGATTCTTACGCGTTGGGTAAATATCACCATGGAAATGAACGAAGGTGAGTAGACAGCTACGTTTTTGTATTTTTTCTCCTGCATTGAATATAACATGGAAGCTGATGCACTGAGTTAGTAATCTTTGAATATTCATTTAGATCACCGTTACACCGTTATTTTGAAGTTTAAATATTTGATGTCCATTAAAACTTATACCACATATCAATCGGAAATGTAGTTTTCCTGTACATTGTTGCTCTCCAAAATTAAATTCGTCAACCAAACGATAACAGTAACAATACGAGGTGTTTCTAAAATAGTTAACTCCCAAAACATATTATACAGGTTGTAACAGTGGAATATTGCAAAAAATTCATAAAAAGGCAAAATGTTCGTTTTGGTTCTCTCTCGCCCAATTTTTTTGATATTTACTTGTTGCACCGTGTATATCAGTTCCAAACGTTGTTTCAGATTCCCAGGTGGTTTCCTTGCAGGAATGTCGCAGATTTATAACGGAATGCATGATCGCCGTTGGGGTTCCCGAATGTCATGCAAACGCTCAAAGCGACCTCCTTGTAGAAGCCGATTACAGAGGCCATTACAGTCATGGCATGAACCGTTTAGGTACCAGCTTCGCTTTAATCTATTTCTCAAATGTTGCTTTGTAGACCATTACGTAAAGGACGTGCAGACAGAGTGGACCGACAAGTTAGCCGTCCCAAAGGTGTTGGCGGAAACGCCTGCGACCGCATGGGTGGATGGACAGAACGGACTTGGTGCGATTGTCGGTAATTTTTGTATGGGTATTGCTATTAAAAAGGCAAAAAACGTCGGCGTCGGATGGGTCTGTGCGAGAGGTAAAATTTTACCGATAGAACGTGACGTTGTATTGCTTTTGTTTAAGGCGCTAATCATTACGGTATTGCCGGCATTTACGCCATGCAAGCGGCACGATTTGGTTTAATCGGTATGAGTTTCACAAACACATGTCCAATCACTAACAGCACCCGTAGCAAAAAAGTATATCTTTATTTACCGACCGATTGCATCTAAACTATTTCTTACAGCCCGCAATTGGTGTAAACCCATTAGCCTTTGCCGCATCTAGTAGCAATGATAGCTTTGTGTTAGATATGTCCACTTCTACTGTAGCTGTTGGAAAGGTACACCAGAATAAGATGAACTACTCCACAGTTAAAACAAATTGCAGATCGAAATGAAAAAAAGAAAGCAAGAAAAGTTGCCAGAAGGATGGGCTTTAGACCACGAAGGGAACATTACAGATGATCCAAAGGTAGCGTGCGAGGCGCAACATTTGCTACCTTTAGGTGGAACAGAGCTTAATGGTGGCTACAAAGGTTTCGGATTGGGGGTGATGGTTGAAATGTTAACGGGAATTTTAGCGGGTAGCAATTACGCCGATCGTATACCTCCCTACAATCTTTTTTCAAAGGATCGCCCCAGAGATCTCGGGCAATGCTTTATCGCCGTGGACCCCAAGTGCTTTGCTCCGGGATTTGAAGATCGTTTAGATGATTTATTGGATTCCATTCGTAATTTGGATCCGGTAATTTAGTCTTTAATGCAATGCCGATTAATTTCGAGTGTTATTTTAGTCGAATCCTGAAAAACCGGTGATTGTCGCAGGAGATCCAGAACGAGAACATATGGCGGAAGTGAATCGCATTGGGGGTATACGATTTTGCAAGGATCAACTGGAATCGTGTTCGAAACTGGCCGCGTCTTTAAAAGTAGCTCCTTTAAAGTTTAAGTGAAACGTATTGCAATTATCCAAATTTACACTTGACTTGACACCTTAACCTTTATGCAATATGAATCATGGATACAAGGTGTTGATCTATCAGATATGAAATACCTAATCGATTCAATCCTGTTTTTTGAAAATTTTACTTGTTCAGAAACGCATTTCTCCTTCATCCAGGATAATACAAACAAACAATACCAACAGGACAATCAGCAATGAGGGGCGCTTGCTATATTTTTCTCAATTTTCTTGAGAGTCGATTGTAATATGTACTTTTTATTATATAACAGTAGGTACTAAAGGACAATGACTTACCATAAACGCCACTATTCTTCGGAAACATATCGAACATTCACACAACTATCACTTCACGCTTACTGACAAAGAAATTTCAAATTTATTGTATCATTTGGACAGTCCTTGAATTGCTTACAGTTCCGGTTTTCTATTGAAAGCGTACGTGCAAATCGAACCACCTTCTTATTTAATTTATCTAATATATTTTGCTCAAGGAGATTAGTCTTTTTTTTTCCAAAATTCTTAATGATTGTGCTATAAGATAGGTACTAAAGGCAACCAATTAAAGGATTGAGTCTGCCGAGGGAAATGTGGTAAGAAATTCCTACCTCCACTAATATTTTTTTGAAAATGAGAGGTGGAATCGGCCAACATTTTCGCGTTCAATGGCACATAATTTTCCGGTTCTTTTGGCGTCTTTCGATATTTACGGTCTTGTTAATAATTGATTGAATCCGGAAGCAAATGGCATTCCGTAGGCTATTAATTGTCAAAGTGACTTCTGGGGTAGGAGTAGCAAAAAAAAACCCAGGTTTCCAGACCGGTAGACCAGTAGCTAATTGTCACCATGTTAGAGAACGACGGAAAATCAGTGGCCTCTCTGCTATAAACGCGAATTTGATACCCTACGATGGTTCGGTATTATGCTGAAAGTACAGCTCGCTTGAGCAGAAGTCGGTAATAGCAATGAGTAATATACTAGTAGTAAGTGGTTATGATGAAATTTAATCTGTTGCTCCATTGTTGACGTAATTCGTCGAAAATACTCTAGCAAACGATTTCATTAACCAAAACGCTAATATAACGACAATAAATAATCCAATTAATTTAAAATGCACAAAAACAAATTAATTTGTTGCTTGAAATTTATAATATTTTGAGTTTTATGAGTTACAACAAAAACAGTCACAATACCTTTTTTCATCCATGTTATTTGGAACTAGCGTCGATCTTCAAATATTCCTCCGTAGTGGAAAATTTCCCTAGGGTAAAGTTAGCGTTCGTTGGTATATGTACCTGCTTTCTTTTTGGTCTATGGGTCAAGGTGGTGGTCTTAGATTCTAGACCAAGGTCCTAATTTCGGATTCTGGAGCAAGATCTTGGCCCTGGATTCTGTACCGAGGTTGTGGTTTTCGATTTTCACCTAATACATAATTAAGACGTGGCCTTGTTTAATAGTACATGGTCGTACCCTGGGTTTTCTCGCCCAATGAATATCTTAGGAGATAGTCTCATAGATTGCAATAATAGTGCATCATAAAAACAAGGTCACGGTTCAGTTACGAAATGCATTGATCAGTATTTGCCAAAAGGCCATAGCTATGTGCGCTATGTTTTTCTGTACGAGAGGCATCTATGGTTAAAATTTCAAAGAAATATCTCCACACATAAGAAAGTTGAAGTTGCGCAGTTCGCATTCTATGGTTAAAATTTTAAAGAGAGATCTTCATAAGTAAAAAAGTTCGCATTTTGAAATTTGCGCATGCGCGTAGTTGATTTTTACTATGTGCGATCTGTGTGCCTTTGCTAGTGTCAGAGCTATAAGCTACCGAATTCAAAAAGAACGAAATAAATATATTGAAAATTGTACGGCCTCGGACGGACGGACGGACGGAGAAAGTGACCATAACAGCGCCTTCCAACATTAGTTGTAAAATGCGCATAACGGATTGGGTCTTTTCTTAAATCTTTATATAAATGATGAAATTCTCCATACAACATACGCTTTTTGTTTTAATGGATGTACATTGTTTTGACGCTTCCTTTTTAAAGTGGGCGTGGTTTAGCGAGAGGAGGTAGTGGGATCTGCGGAAGCAGCTCACGAGATTCCCGCCTTTACACTTGAAGATCAAGAGGCAAATCCGGGGATGGACTTTCAGTATCTACAACCGTGTGAAAAGGGGTCTCCGAACGATCGAATCTTCAGATTTTGGATTTTTCCAATATAATCGGCCACAGACCATCAATCAGTGAAGGCTTTTGCGTCGCGGAAGAAATTTAATATGAGTGCAGTGCGCAGTAAGTTTTGTATTTTTTATATCGTAGGTTCCCTAGGGAATTCATTCAACCGTGTCACGTATCGACATTGATGTTAACGTTCTGGAGGTTGCTGCTTCCAGTTTCAGGTTCAGCACTTTCCTTGTAAAAGCGTTGAACAGATTACGTCCCACGATCATTTTAAATAACATGATTAATATCCCTTTCACGTGTATCGTTTGCACCAGGGTAGCTTGGAGAGTCATGAGGCAATGTTGGTGTTTTAGATAACACGTAGATACTAGAAATGTTTTGGCATCTATTGTTCAAGGGGGAAGAGATCACGAATGTGCATCGGTAGAGATCGTTCCAAAACCAAAAGATTATTGCGCAGAAACCAATTTTTTTTATGTTTGAACTGTTGACAGCTATTTTACAATTTATTCGAGTACAAAAAGACGGATTGTTCTTTGTGACCATAATACAAACGCACTGCACCGTCCTCATATAGGTAAAATGATAATCGGAAACGTAATTCCATGTAAAAAACACATGCCGGTAGATTAGAGAAGAGTGGTTTAGCGATGTCAACGGAAGAGATTTGAGAAGTTCTGGAGGGATCGTTTGATGCTGTAAAATACGAAGCGAATGTATTCGGGTTCGGGTGATCTAAGAAAGTAATCAAAAAGGAAATGAGACTGGAAAATAATAAGAAATGAGATCATTTGAGCGTAGAGAATAATCAGAAATTTAATGAAATGGAATTGATTTAGGGATGAAACGAAGGGTATAAAGGAAGAACATATTAGTTTTAAAGGGGAGGTAAACCGAAGATTTCTGGATGATGTGGCAAATATGGCAACGTGGAGTGCGGAATGTACAAAGGATTACAGGGAAGTAGCTGGATGATTAAACGCGATTGGTGGAAGTTTTGCAAATTAACATAATAGCATAATAAAAAGCAATTAAAGCAATATATAACAGTAGGCAAATTCAAAACGAGAGGAGTTCCCGTGTATACAAGGTGATGTGGAAAAACTATACAAGTGCACCGAGGAAAGGAAGATGCACGGAACACGAAGTGCAAATAGCAAATGTTTTACAGTGAAAATTTGTATTGAGATCTAAGATAGGAAGTTCGAATGTTTTACACGAATTATTGGTGATTGCGCATATGGAACTTGATATACATATTGGGAATGGACATTTACAATACTGGGTGGCCACGGGAAATATTTACGTTTTTGATGGGACTGTACTCACCCCTGGCGAATCGTGGGCAATATTCACCTCCTAAAGAGTGGCCATTTATGTATCTCAGTCGCTATGGGGCCGTGAACGGTTGAACAACGCGTACTATGATTCCTATGTTAGGAACGATACGAGGAAGGACAAATTTTCCATCTTTGTGTGCCGTTTACCCTAATAAAATGCTGCCCAATATACAGTGTCTATTACGGGCTATATAAAAAAATATAGCTCTCAGAGTCTTGTAGAGTTCAAAAAGAGGCACTGAGGAAATGTTTTTAAATTTTTTTGTATCCTTTGAAATAACATCAGAAAAAAATTAAAGCGAAATGCCCAAATTTCTGTTTTTTTTCTGGCATATCTTCGGAAGTAATCGGAATTTTCTAGAAACACGATAATAACTCTTTAATTGCGCATCTTTTCTCTAATTTGATCATCGCCGTATCTTCTATGGTTTCGGAAATCCCCATGATAGACACGTATAATTATGATTTTTAGATCAACACTAATTGAACAATGAACGTTAGAAAAAGACCTAAAAACAGACCTATTGACCTTCCAGAAATGTGTGCTTGAAATTCAACGTGTTTGCCTACAACATTAAATCTCCAAACTAAAACAATTTGTCGGTAGCACGTGACTTTTATCCCGATGCCCAGATAAACCAATTTATAAACATGTAAAGTGAAAAACTGCCGGTAATGTGCAACATTAAAATCAATGTCGGTGCATTTAAATAAATCTGCGTTAAATTGAGTAGAATCTTTAGTGTTTTTGAATTTATTTTGAAACATCGTGCCTAAATTGATTACGAAATATTTCGGTTATGCGGGGCCACTCTTCCAAATTGGGAAAGAATGTTACGCATAATCGGATAAAAAGGTTACAGTGGAAAATTAAGTACAGGGCAACCTAATAAGTTGTTTCATCAAAATTCTGCATGAACCTACGTAGGCGCTGTAAAGATTGTAATCATAACATACCTGTTTCAAAAGTTTCGAGGGACGTAGGTGTAAATACATACATACAAAACTTTATTACAAATACATAATTGTACAAATTTGTCATGTATTAATTTAAGTTACGTACAATAAATAATTAATAATGAAGGAAACTTTTACGTATTTAATAAAAAATACTGTTAGACGTTGTTATTAGCCATGGAGTATGGGGAGAGGGAGCGTTAACAATTATGAGCACAGCTACTTTGCTACCAGGTAACTTGAATGGGAATTGTCTTGGACAACGCTAATCTAAACAAGCACAATATTTACACATCACTGGTTTCAAATAACAATTAAAACGTTTACTTGCAGGTATATTCTTCAGTTCTTTCGCTGCATGTATCACAATTTACGTAACAGCACCAATGGAACTTACACCTACACTGCCAAGTCCTTGTGTATTGATGCGTGTTATAACCTCTTCCGCAACACATCAAACCGCAACCATCTGTACCTACGAAATAGTGGGAAAAGTGTGAAAATTTCGATAATTATTGGCGATACGCACCTGGAGATGTCCTGTTGCAAGTACGGCCCACCGTACCTAACGAACCGGCCGCCAGATCCTTTTCGCAATAATTCGGCGACATTTGTAAGAACACCAAATCGGCACGTTTCGGCGCCTTCCTAATGGGCATTTTTCCTTTTTTCAGCACGAGATGCAGTTTCCGCCGTTTTTTATTCGCGTTATCCGTCTGTCGCGGGCCCGGCGTCGCAAAACTCGAAGCCACCGGCCTCGCCCTGTAATACTTCTTCATCAGCGTGTCTCCGATTTGACGAAATTGGGGTAAAGTCTTCCAGCAGGTTTTCATCGTGCAGCTCCCCGATACTCCGTGACATTTGCATTCGGTAATTAAACTGGTCTTCACTACCTAAAAAAGGCAAAAAGTTTTAGATGCGACTAATTCCTTTAAGCGATCTTTGGTGATATTCTAAAACTTGAGTTTTTGGGAATTAGTTAGGAGGATTCAATTGTTATATTTACTGTCGACGCAAAAACTTTGTGCATTCGAGTTTGAAGCTTAATAAAACAAAAACCATTAGGTCGATTTTATTGGGACTTGTATCAAATTAACGCCTGTTTCATTCTGCATTCCTTTGACCTAAGAACATTTTTTTTTAATACATTTTAATTATCATTACAGCGCGCGAACCATAAAAAGTACCCCGTTTTCGCGGTTTTCCACGTCGTGGTAAACTTTAGAGTCAACTAGAAACAAAACCACAAGTCCAAATGCCCTGAAATTTTAGTATGGTAGAAATTGAACTGTTCTCAATGTAGTAGAACGACACAGGCTTTACTTTGGTACAAGTCCCATTAATATCGACCCAACGGTTATTTTTTTATTAAGCTCCAAACTCGAGTGCACAAACTTTTTGGGTCAACAGTAGTCTTCCATATTTGTTTGTAATTAGCCGAGATCTTTATCATAAGTTTATTGATTTATACATAATGTTATTTTGTTTAATGATCGCATAAATTACTTGGATACCATTACTGCATCTTTTTGCATATTAATTTCAGTTTTATATTCAACTCTACTTAAAGATTCCCATTCCGTTCAAAATGAGATAAACCTAGTTAGAATTGCATTTTACATTAATTTAATATTAAACGTTATTGGTAAATAATAGCGGTTGAGATAATGGAAAGTAAGTATATATTTGCTTCCTATTATGGCTATTATACATACAAATATTACTCGTATGATAATTGTTTAATAGGCGTTTTTTGCCGACAAACACTTTGATATGTAAAAGATAGCTGTATATTCATTGGGCCTAACATCACTCTCCCTGTCCTCCGCAAACAATTCCTAACACTATCTCCTGAACATCTCAGCTAATCTTACTTTCGCCACTGCTACATGATTTCAACGTAAACAGCGAGCTTTTAATCGGTACTCCTTTTTTCTTCGGAGACCTGTGGGTGCGGGTCAGTGAAGTATTCCACTTAGCTCCAAACGGGAAACCTGTGGGAGATTTCAGTATAAAAGTTCGCGGATTTCAAACCGCACACAAAAGCTTGCAGAGCTTTGAATTGTAAGAAAAATAGCTTCATTTGATTAATTCGGGGACACTAAACTCAAAGCGTCCAGCTAAAATATCATAGGCCGCTTTTCTATTCACAAGTTCTCTAAAATATCATTCCAAAATATTGAAAAAATCATTTCATAGTCTTTTTTCAAGACCTTGAACTTATTGAGAACCTTTCGCTTACCCTGCTTATGTTATACAACAATACCACCCCATTTTTTTGATGCGCCGTGTATATGTATATAAGTATGTAAAAAATTGGGTAGTAGAGGGGATCAAAAAAAGCACGTTTTCCAAATAAACTGAAGGTCCATTCGTCCAACGTTTGGAAGCCACCCTCAAGAAAGTGATGAAATTTGCATTTCTTCTTTAATTCTTTTCTCTGCAACCATACGAGTCAGAAAGACTGGTGGGACGTCTTTGAATAGGTCTTCGGATGTCCGTTCCGATTTTGCAAAAAATTTGTCACAATTCCACCACGAAAGGGTGAACTCATACACGGGGGTGCGAAAAAAATTCTGGTTTCGACGAAATTCGCTATCTGGGGGTTTTCGAACATGAAAATCACGAATTTGACATTATTTTTTGAAAATTCGAAAAAAAATCTACTGCAATGCTTGGGCGGACAACGAAGATGGAGATAAATACACGAAATTTGTTGTGGTACATTCTTGATGAGTTAAGGAACCAAATTGTGGAACAGTTTTTTAGAATCGCTTTCCAAACAAACGTTATACTCATTTGAAGATTACTCCTTCGGGTCACAAAGTGTCCCCCGCCTACTAGTGAGTCATCTAATTTTCATGTCATTAGTAAAAATGTCGCAAATTAGTCGATATTATGATAAGATATTAAAAAATTCGATATGTCGATCATGGTATTGAAGTCTACTAATTTGATTCCAAGAAGATGTAGACTGTGAGTCACCTTTCGGGTTTCCCTGGTCCAAGATCATCGCTAAAGCTGAGCAAGGTTCATGTTTGAGTTTTGGCTAATCAAGGAGTAAAATTCAAAAAGCGCAGAGGATTTATAACCACAATAAATGGCAACAATTTAAAACTGTGAAGAGTGAAAATTATAGATTTTTTGCTACAAATTATTTCGTAGGTGGCACAGAAAAAAAGTCGAGTAGTAGCTCTCACGATAAAGATCTTGTATAGTAACATAGCCGTACAGATTGACACACGAATGGGCGGACAAAGTGGTCATAGTAGCCCATTGTTTTTAGCGCATTTTTTAAGAATTAAAAAAAATGTGCTATTGTTTGCGTTTTGTCCGTTCGTCCATCCGTCCGTCCGGCCATCAAATTGCGTTGTCTAAAAGGGGGGCCCCCCACGAATTATTTCCTGAGATGCTGTTTTTGAAAGTAAAACGTGCATAACTTTTACATACGACAACAAATTGAGGGGTGGAACTAGTTATAACCTTCATGGTACTTCATGGTAGGTACTCTAGTGAAAGGTCTCAACGAAAGGAATTAATTTCTACCAACCATAGCCCTCCTGCTCGACTTCTTATCGTGATCGGGTATATTCCCTTATACCTCAAGAACGGATTGTCGGAAGAGGGGTGGCCTAGGAACGCCAATAAAATTGATACAAGTTTCCTCAATTAAATAATTCTTAACGTAGTGTCTTCTCTTAGGAAAAAGTATCATGTGTTAAGGTAACGTTGATAAAGTGGGTACAAGCATCCTTAATTTTTGTAAAACTTAATGAGACTTAATCTACAACGCTAATAAAATTTATGTAATCATCCTCAAGTTTTGTGAATCATTCTTTAAAGTTGTCGCGAATCTTACGCACGAACAATGAGAATTCAATTTAGGGAATTCAGGTAATAATTATCCACTTATTTGATGTAACAGGTGGCCGCATTTCCCTTTCAACAGCTTGAATTTGTATGTTGTTAAACATACAGAAAAATGTTCACATATACCGCTTCATAGCGAACATGAACAAAAGTATATCTGGTGATAACAGGCGATAACAAGAAACGTATTGCGGAAAGCGAGCGCGGTTGCCCCGATCTCTCCCAACCTAAGAATGTGGTTCCAGCCTGTTTAAAGTCGAGCACGTGGCAATAATGCAGGTTTACTAGTTCAGAAAACAGGTTCCGTTTCAGAACTTCTAACGGGCAAGATATAAATAGCGAGAGAAGTGGGAGAGCGAAAACTGTAAGCTGATTTTCAAAAACCGTCACGTACTACGTGAGATACGCCGACATTAAATTTTGTGAAATTACGAGCATAAGCCCGTACTAATTTGGGGTAGGCTTATTATTATTCTTGGTTTATTTCGCGTAAATACAAAAGGTTTTCGACCACGTACAAATATTGGTACGTGAAAAAATTGATTCACGGTCGAAATTTTTTGTCTGTGTTGTGAGAAATATCTTCGCGTATGTGTGAAGATTCCCGGTGCGATTTCAAGAACCAAAACGTGTATCGACACCTAGTTTGCTCAAAATCAGTATCAACACTGCGGAACCTATTCATTTTATTCGTGTGCTTATTTACGATCTCGAGTGTTACCTTCGCGAAATTGAAGCCGGTTTGCTTGGATTCGCGAATCATTCGAACTTTTATTTCGCCAAACTTTGCATTGGTCACGAAGATAACGTTACCAGGGTGGCGTACCAACGAAGCGATCCGTTTCCATATTTTTAAAGGAGAGAAGATCAATTGTTACCAAAAAAGAATATTACCCACGTCAATCACTGTAACTTATTTTAAATTTTTTTATGTATAAAGCAGTGGTCGGTTATTTTTAGGAATTTGAATAAGGAATTCTGTTCGAAGTAACTTTAATATTCCTAAAGGAATCCGCCTATGAAATTTATTCTCATGAAACAGATTTTGTATTTTATTTATTGATAAGAATTGAATCCAAACCTTAGATCCTAACAAAGGATTGTTGGTTTCATTGATTGATGAATTTAGTTTCAGTATACTAGTCCTTTGGTTGGATTAAAATTTTGTTTAGCATTCAGAGGTATGTGTATATTATGTACAGGAGAATGTATAAGTAATTTAATATGTGATAAAGATTAATTTTAGATAAGGATATAATTTAGCATGGGCACGAGATAGGCATTGCATTTTTTTGTAATATTTATTGTATTTATCAGAGTTCAATCAAACCAGAGCATTATATTTTGAATTTCAGATTTTGAGAGGAGAAAAAAGCCCAAACTTCCGCAAGGTTGAAAACATTTTTATTACTGAGCTAGCCATGGATAAATTAAAAATTAATTGTTTATTTAAAGTATTTTGCCAGTGCCGTAGAAGTTCAATTTTATTTTATGTCAGGTTATAAGTAAGGTCTTCGACCCTTGTAAATGTAACTAAGCCGTTACATTGGTTGACACTTAATGTACAGTATCATCCCTTAAATAACGTAAATAAAATTTATACAGGCATTCTTAATTCCTGTGAAGACATTGTTTGACGTGGTCAGTTATCTTAAGCAGAAGTGATCAGACAAAGTAAGACTAATTTCGGAATGGTTAGTCATTAACCAACAAATAATGTGACTGGCGCTTAATCTACACACATCATCCCTTATAATAAGGTCAATAAAAGTGATACAAGTGTCCTCAATTTTTATGGAAACACTTTCTTGTGCAAGTATTGAAAGGAAATAAGACCAATTCGGGGGTGGTCGGGTAATAATTATCTATTTACTTGATTGCCGTTCATTTTACACATTGTAATAAAGAACTTCGTTTCAGAATTATAATTGTGTCTGTTTTTTAACGAAATCAGCAATCTCTAAATAGAGGAGTTGGCATGCGTGTGAAGATGGAACGGAAAACAGACCCCCTGAATACCCCAAAAGCTCTATTGGCACGAAATGTATGATAAGTAAACCTTTTCTATGGGGAGGATGCAGTTGCAGACAAAAGAGGACCTACCAAGTGCGGAATTCTCTTTATAAATTGAACAGGGTTGTTCGTCACAGAAGTAAACATTTCTAAATAATTTGGGAAGAGAAATGGGCAAGTAGCCGGGGACTTCACAAAGAATCATTTTATGATGCAATTGAAACGAAATTAGCACTGGCAGGAAAATAGTAAGGAATTGTAAAAGTGTGAAAGTGTAATTTGCGAACATGCTAAGAAAAATGCTTAGAGATATGGCTAAACACACGTTTCATAAAAATCCAAAATATTACTTCTGTTGGTTATAACCTGGGGATAATGAAAAGTGGTAATTTCTTATTGTAAATTGATGCAAGTACCAATCACAAATAATGACAGACTGTTCTACAATCTACATATTCAGATTATACAGCTGTTGACAAAGTTAATAAGCATTTACGGTAGACGTCGGAACCTAAAGCACATTTATAGTATGTAATTCAGTTATTATTACACGATTATAATGATACATAAATATAGTAATGATGAAGTGATTACTTTGCAGTACTTTTAAGATGGGAGTGATATAATCTATCACACTAGCCGATAATCTGGCGTATTTTTACGTTTTCTTCAAAACCGCTGATGTAAAAACGGCAGCAAAAAGTAAATGTCAAATTGTTTCGTATCTATAGTTGAAGATCTGCTTGTAACGTCGAAAATAAAATTAAATTCAGAAATCAGATCTGCAATTCTCAAGGTGTATCAGTTTTTCGTATCGCGTGTTTCTCCTAATTGACAGGGTGGTGAATGATGGACCAACCGCCTGCGATTGTTAACCCACTCGTCGTAGCATGCATGTCACTAAAGTCACAGACACAATGGACGGATTGACTTAAATTATAAAAAATATCATACAAACCTTTCTTCCCGCCCTATTATTATGTAGATTCATAAGACTTCGTTCGTCCCCCTCGAGTTCTCGGGCGTCTAAGAATTTTCGCGCGAATCTGGTTCCAAAAGCTATATCCACGCTGCAGCCGCCCCATTTCCATCCCGATGGCGCGGCGTCTCTCGGTTTGGGACCGGGAGCACAGCCGCACGATGATATGTTTCCTTTGGCACATGCTGTCGTCACCGCGTACGATACTCCGGCGCTTGAAATTGCATAGGTGAAAGCGGCCTCTCGTGATCCTAAAAAAATACCATTATTAATTCCACTATACGACTTCCTGCCAGATTTATTTCTAATGCACAAATGAGTTAAGGGTATAGCTTTATTATCACGATGTGTAATTTTAATTGCTTTATTATTATGATGTAAAGCTTGAACATAGAAGCATTTTGATTAAGGAGGGTGCAGGCCCAAAAAGTAGCCATGAACGAATGATTGGCGTATATTGTGGGAATGCTCAATTATATTACCAACTTGAGGTCGAGAATCAATACAAGGATCCAGCCTGGTAGGCCTCTTCAGGCCAGAACACAGGAGACTATACAGAGAATTGAAAAGGTGGTATTGACAGATGGTTTCAGTTGCAAGGAAAGTGCAAGGAAAGTGCCCATGCCCACATCAGAGGCAACCATTTTTAAAAGATCCGAGAATGAAAGAAGCGTCCGCTAGACGGATTCACAGCCTCCTTGCACCAGTACAGAAACTTGTCAGGCAAGAAATTTGTCAATTTTGGATTCTTTAAAACAAGATATCCAAGTTATCGCTGAATGTGGCATAGTCCAAATTTAGCAGCCTGTGACTAATATCTTTTCTCCAAGTTGAAAAAGCACTTAACGAGGACAAATATTTTGCTTGCGATGGTAACCTGAACGTTGCTGTTAATGAAAAAGAATTTTTTTAATGTATCTGTTTATTGTAGAAGAGTGTGTAAAGATTGAAGGGACACCTGCGCATGTGCGTTCTGCCCAAATGCTTTCCAACTCTTCCTTTTATATCTGAGAATATGTGTAGTAAATTTGGTTCCAATCGGTTCAACCGTTTAGCCGGAAATGAGAATACAGACCGACCGAAAGACCGACATCATCGAAATTTTGCTTGATTCGGACTCCTGATGTCAAAACGTACATTTCCGTTAAAAATTGAGGAAAGGGGAGTCATTTTTTACTCCAATGCAATACCTCCCTTACTAATGTAAGAGTGGTAAAAACAAGGATTCGTATCTTGGCGCATTTTGCAGTTTTCACGAAGAAATATGGAATAAATTAAGAATTTGCTCTACCACTTAACCAAAATGGGAGTAGGATAGGAAGAGCACAAAGAGTGGTTCTCATATTTATTTTCCTTGATGATATTGGTTATAAATAAACATTTCGGGCTACCAAGTTAATAAAAAATGGTGTATGACAGAAAGGTGGGTAAGATTACCAAATCAAATCAAAATATTGTGTTTTTCCAATTAAATTGGTAAATAAATCATTTTGGCTCCACCATCTTAACCGAAAAAAGGATATGGAAAAACGACTATAAAATCTAGTTCCTGTGCCTCAAGTCAATGTGTTTTCCCTTCTCTCAATTCTGCAATTTGACAAAATAAATGTATTAGAATGTTAATAACTAATTACCTAAGGGCCGAGCAAAGTCAAGAATGAAAACATACTTGACTACTTCTCCACTCAACTCAATACTAAGTCTTCAGACTCGTGGGACGGAAAACCCCTGAAATATTGCATAAGGCATCGAAATACAATTTAATGTGCTACAAATGATGCAATCGCGAAGTTACATCCGATAAAATCCAGAAAAGTTTATGAAAAAGAGGTTCCCCAGGGGTTGAGACAGTATCTTAAAATATACTTTTGAATTACCATGTATAGAAAAATTTGCAATATGAAACGTTACAGTGAATGTGTACATGTTTTCAATTTATTTAAATTTAAACGAAGTTAGGCAGGATTTGCTTGCTTATATGACGTTTAAATTAGTTACATTTAGTGGAAAAAGTGCTAAATATTGTTCCAAAGGAACACATCAACGATTAGTCAACGAGTAGAAACAATTCCCAACGCCATGCCAATCGACCAGTTCAAAGGGAACCTTTCATCATAATCCTGGTCTAGTCGTTCTACTTTTCCGTAATTATTTGTAAACTTGGTCGAATTAGCTATCTGCATGTACACGTGCGACGGCACAGGCGGTGTGCTGATTCAAGATAACAATAGATATATCGTTTGCGCGTAAGACCCCAATTTATCATTAGAATAATCATTCAAATTTTGTATTAAAATACGATGGTTTTTTCAGTTACTTACTATTGGAAACTTACATGGAATGTGTAAATTATAACCTATAACGTTTGTATCATAAATAAAGAGGAGGATGTTTTAACTGCATTTGACAGTATTTTTTTGATTTAAAGGAAAAAATAAAGGTATAATTCAGGTGGCGCATCGATTTTAATCAAAAGTTTATACATTACAATAACCCAAACCGTAAAAAAGCGTGGGACGCTTGACGTGCATGAAAAAAATCCGAGTTTCAAGTTGTACTCCTTGTACTTGCTTTCTTAAACAATCAATTGAAGAAATCGAAAATCGAAAATTTTAACTGGTTGGAAAGAACACTTTCAGTAAGATGGCTGTCCCGGTTTTATTTTTTCAAATACATGCATATAAATTATTATTGGCCGCGTATCACTATAATTTTTGATTGAGGACCACGGCTACTGCAACTGCAATTGGTTTAGTTGAACGAACTTCGATTGGTGCAGAACTTTTACTATTTTTGAAGAATTCAATGTCTGTTGAATTGCAATTTTTTCTGGGGATTAAAACTCTTTGTGTGATCTCGAAATGGTTTGGATATACACTTTTCTCTCATGTTTGACGCTATAATTTGAATTTAAAGTGGATGTAAGTACGGCTATATTCTTGTGACCTCATTTTAGGGTTTTGCGATTTGAAGTTCGCACCGATTCAAGTTTCAAGCGTTGCCGTAATGGTGGTAGGTTACATTCTTGTTCGAACGGATTTGACAGTTTCTTTGCAGGGTTTTTGTGAATGCTGAGACAACAAATAGCGCTTGGAGCGAAGGGAACCAAATTGGGTGAATGGCCATTCTGGTGAACCTTTCTTTTATTCATTTAATTAAATTAATAGTTAGTGGATAATTTCTCTATAAGTAATTTTACTAATTTAAATTTTATTTAAAATTGAAAGTCATTAGTAAGTGTTAGAGTTAATGAACTATTAACCACAAATTAAATAGGAGTGTCAAGTTTAAGTTGTTTGGTAATAATTGTGGAAGTCTTGAGAATATTAAAACCCTACATCATTTTGTTACGGGAATTTGCAACCATTGCTTTGTATCGCTTTCCGTTGAGTTCCTAGTTTCGTAAGAAGAAACTTCAATCATTTAAAGAAGCTGGGTGGTGCTCTTTATTTGGATTTAAGTTTCTTTCAGAAACATGCAAAGTAGAAATTGCCAGGTTATCACAAATTTATTCGAGTTGACTTTTTTTTTGCAGAAAAATGTTAGTTATAAGTTAATGTAAAAGAATAGATTGGTTGATTGCAGTTAAAAAACCGTACATTTATTTTTTACGTAGTATTGTTAACAGTCTTTGTTCGTTAATCACTTTAGGAAGCAAATGTCGCCTTGGAGTGTGGCAATCATCTCATATTTCACTTTCTTAATGGGTAATATTGGGAAAGTGTGTGCGGATGCGAACCGTAATGATTCACTTCCCAAATTAAAAATCCGTAGCTACCCGCCTCCATTCACCACGTCACCAGAACTCGCTTATTATAAGATGTTTGCGGTATCCTTTAGAATAATTCATTCGGGATGTGCCCTTCATTCCTTTGGTACTAAGTAGTGGTCGTTTTAGATTATGAAGTTGAAATTAAATATCTGTCGATGAAATAAGAATTCAGTTTAAGTACAAAATCCACTGATTCCATTCAATTGATGTACCTATACAATGGTTTTTCAGAAGAATTAATTATAAACTGAATTAAGAAGGCAAATTAGAAATGTAACAACGTTAGTAAATTGTAAACAGTTTCTAGTACGTTAGTAGGCATACAAAATCCTTTTAGATAACCCAAAAAAAAACGTGATGTGAAGGATAAATCGGGAATATACAAAAATCTTTTAAAGATTTAAAAAAAATTGTATGTTGGTCAAACTGAAAGATCGCTGAAAATCCGTTGTAAAGTGCATATGGCTCACGGGATAAATCTAGCGTTGTACAACAATGAAAAATGCACACTGATTCAAATCACGCATACTACCGATTTGATGAAAATGTAATTTACTTATCCTTATAAGCGGTGGTACAAATAGCAGGAAATAAATTCCATTCCATTTCTAAATTATATATCTGTAACCGATTTTATCCCATGCAAATTTCTGCATCTGTCCATGTTAAAGCAAATTAGTCAATAAAGTGCATTAGTTTAATCAAGACCCGATGACTTTAATAGCCATTATAAATCTGTATATAAATATCTTAAATAGACTTCCTGTCTGAATAAGAAAATGTTAATTGCATTCGTTATAATCAATTATGCGAATGGGTTCTTGTTTTCAAAAATCACAGAAAGGGGTCCAATAAGAAAAAAAATTTAACGTTGTGATTTGGAGCAGAGTGGCACTTTAGTCTAACCACGAACGTCTTGTTTATTGATTTGATCATGTATGGAGAGCTTACGATCTATTTACTTATGGGAAATAAACGATAATAATAAATCCGTTTCATATGATTAATCTTTGTATCTTACATGGTATAATCCGACTTTCACTTCATGTTTCATCTTATCTTAAAATCTATAATCAAGCACGTATTTATCGAATAGTTAGCGATAATCAAGATGTGTATAAATCAGTCGCTGTTAATGATTTAACGCCTCCCACGATATCTTCTTGTCAGTCAGCACGCAGAGCGCCAATTAATGGGTCGCTCACATGACTAATGTAATCTTTCTCATCCTCGCCATTGTAATAATAACGACTTACCTACATAGCCTTAAAATGGGACGTCATTAAAATATTTTAATGGTTCACTGAGATTTTAATTATATAAATTTACAATTCCTTCAATAATAAGTAATGGTTAATTAATAATCTGTCACAACATCCCCCAAACGGTTACGACCTACGCAACGAATCTCGTACATAATTTTTTAAGGAGGTAATGAGAAGGCGTTCTGATAGGACATTACATAAATCTGTGATTATG